AGCTGCAGAGTCCACGTCATAAAAGGAGACCAGACCCTCCTCATAATCCACAAACACCCCACCTTCTCAGGACGACACTTCAGAGAGAGACGGACTGGAGGGTCATCAAGGGCTTCATACTTATTTCCATTTCTCAAACCATATAGACCACAAACTCTCCTCAGGACTCAGTGTGATTTTCCCTTCCTGTTGATGGACTCTCTGACCACTCCTAAAATCCCAACCAGTCTTTCCTTTAACCTGAACCTCGAAGTAAAATCTGCCTGAAGAGAAACTCTGCTTTCCTAAAACACTAACACAAAGAGAGAATCTCTCTGGGTTGTCTGGAAGTTCTTTGTCATCACCAGATGAACTTGTTTCCCATCTCAGACAGGATGAGATAGGATGTGCTGTATCAGGATCAAGAGTTACATCCACAGCATACTGCTGGACTCTCTTCAGCTCAGCTTGAACCAACTTCTTCATCTCTTCACTGAGAGTCTCTCCAGCTGAGCCACAGCGTTCCTCACAGTCTCCTCATAAAGTGGTTGACAGACATTAACCTCTGTCCAGTCTTTGGTGGTGGAGCAGAGTTAACAGACTGGACTCTCTGGATTAGATGGAGGTGGTCTTCAGAGCGTGAGAGCTGCTGCACATCAGTGCTCCTCTTCATCAGCTCACAGATTTCCTGCTCCAGCTCTTTGATGAAAGCTTCGGCCTGTTTCTTTGTTGTTTTCAGCTTCTTGTCGATCGTGTCGATGAACTCGGCCCGGCCTCTCTCAACAGACTCCTTCAGAGCGGTGAAGACTCGAACACCTTCTGCCATCTCTCTGTCTGCATCGTCCTTACTGAGGTCCACTGAGTGTTTGATCTCTTGAATCTTCAGTCGTCTTTTCTGGATCATCTGCTGAATTTCAGCCTCTGTCTCCTCCAGCTCTGCCTTCTTTTCTTCATATTCTTCTTTCAGAGGAACAAACTGTGTGTCTTGTGGTCTAAAACAGAGCAGAGCATGCAGACACAGGTCTGATCGGTCTTACAGAACAGCTCCAGAGGTTTATCGTGCTTCGTACACATCCTGTCCTCCAGGTTCTCCACAGGGTCGATCAGCTGGTGTCTTTTCAGACGTGAAGCTGTCAGATGGGGCTCCAGGTGAGTCTCACAGTAGGAGACCAGACAGTCTAAGCAGGACTTCAGGGCCTTCAGTTTGGGTCCAGTGCAGACGTCACATAGAACTTCTCCTGGTTTGGACTCTTGTAGCTCTGAGCTGCTGCTGCTGCTGCTGGCTTCCTGCTGAGCTTTGTCTCTGAACTGACCAACCATCTCAGAGATGAAAGTGTTGACCCTCAGTTTAGGTCTCTTGGTAAAAGCTTCCTTACACATTGGACACCTGTACTGGTCGCTGGTGTTCCAGTGTTCAGTGATGCAATTTTTGCAGAAGTTGTGTCCACATGGTATGGTGACAGGTATCAATTTGAACACATCCAGACAGATGGAGCAGAGAAACTGATCCTCAGACCAATGATAGTTTGCAGCAGCCATATCTACACAGAGTGAAAGAAAGAATAAGATTTAATTAATTTACATGATTTATTGTTTGGAAACTGGAAAGAAGGGATGAAGGATTGACTGATCAAAGTTTGTTACAGATGTTCAGTTAATGATGCGAGTACATCCTTCTGTGGAGCCCTGTGTTGGTAAGAATGAAAAAACCATGCGTATTGCAGGCCTGATTCTAAAGTTCAGACTCGATTTGCTGAGGTTATTCTGCATGTTGTGCTCAGCGTCATGTGCCGGGTTAATCGACTAAACGTTTAAACGTCATCATCGCTAGTTTGCAACAGAATTATGAATCCACCAAACACATATTTTGTACTTAATAATAATAATAATAATAATGCATTTTATTTATGGGCGCCTTTCAGGTCACTTAAGATCCCCTTACAGACAAAGGTTAAAACAAGAACGCAATCAACTAAAGAAAAACACAAACAGCAATAATAAGAAGGGACAGAATAGGCAAATATATAATAATGTGTTTTGGTGTGTTTTATTTGAAGGTATAGTGACTGGGGAGATATGCGACCTGAAGTTTTTGAGATGAACAAACTGAGTGCGACCGGAGATATATGACTTGAACCAGGTGAGGGAGGTGCCAGTGAATCCGATTGAAGCTAGTCTGTCGGAGTTATTGCAGCTTTTTTGAAAGATGATGGAACAAGACCAGAAGTGAGAGAGGCCTGGATGATGTCGGTTATTAAAGAGGACAGAGAGGGTAGACAGGCTTTGATCTAGGTTACAGGTCGAATATTTGGATTTTTGAATGATACTAGAAATATCATCATTAGTTAGGAGTTAAAAACTGAAGAGGCTGGAAAGAGCGACTGTCTGCTACATGTTTTATGGAGGACATTTGCTGATGAATATTTTCGATTTTCGCATTGTAAAAGGTCATGAGGGTGTTACAGTGGGCAGTGGAGTATAGGTGCGAGAATATCAGGTGGTCGCAAGATGGTGTTTACAGTGGAAAACAGAGTTCTTGTTTTCCCTTCAACCGACCTGATGAGGTTCGCAAAATATACAGATTTGGCAGCGGAGAGAGCATCACGAAACAGGTTACTTGTCCGGCTGATGAGGCTGGATTTTTATTGGTTGTCATGTATACCGATCTCTGACAAATGTTGGCGGAGTGAGCTGTAGTTCAGATGGTCTTACAACAGCAGCACAGCATCAGACAAACAGAAATACAGATCTCTCTGAGAGCAGTTGCAGCCATACGCACCAACGTTTACTCCTGGAAGAAGGCTGTGTGTAAACATGGCTGTGTGTATTTCATATGTTGGCTCCCCATGCTGGAGTCTAAGGTGTAATGCAGCCAACAGCCACTAGCTGATCCTGTAGCTTCGTTAATGGGCCTTCTCTCCTCACTCTACTGCTTGGATGTAAACAATAGGGTGAGCATATATTTAAAGCTCCAAATCGGGACACTTTAATTTTACCGCAAACCCACATGCATCTATCCACAGATCGGTGACCTGCACTGATCACACACGATGGCAGGTAAAGGTTTCCTCTTGAGCAGCTCGTTTAAGTTGGTTGCCAGCGGCGTTTGCTTGACTGAAGTAGATTGTAAAACGCAGCTTATTCATTGGCTGGTACTTTTCAAAGGAAGCTGTAACTCTCCTGCAGCTCTTTGGAAAACGCTGACTTCCTCTCAGTATGACAGCTCGCCTACCTGTCGTTACCCAGCAGGTCCCGTTAGCATGATAAGCTAGGCTAGCTAAGCGACAGCTGCAACTCCGAGATTGATTGACACATGTACAGACAAATCAGTGTCACAAGCATGGTGTGTTGTTTTGGTCGGTTAAAACCGGACAGGGACTGTTCAAAACTGGGACTTACTAGTGTTTTGTAGATATTTGTGGGGACTCGGGACACTTGAAAAGGGGACGGTCCTGGTCAAATCTGGACATGTGGTCACCCTGGTTTGGACCAGTGATGTGATAATTGTGTTTCACGATTCAGGACGACAATATATCGCTGTATCTGTATTTTGTCCAACAACTCCTAATGTCCAAATTATGGGACAGAAATAATTCATGTTCTTTTAGTATTTGGTGAAGTAATCTTTTTTCTTTTTTTAAAGATTATTTTTGGGGCTTTTTGTGCCTTTAATTGAGAGATAGGACAGTGGATAGAGTCGGAAATCAGGGAGAGAGAGAGAGCGGGGAATGACATGCGAGAAAGGCCGGGACGCTCACTTGGAAGACTATAGCCTCCATACATGGGGCGCGCGCACTAACCACTGCACCACCAGCGCCCCTTTGGTGAAGTAATCTTGAATGAATGTGCAGTTTTTAACTCTGACCGAGCTGAGAACAACAAAGATCAATGTTGCTGCATTGTAAAGCTAGAGCGCCCTCTGCTGGTGAAACAGCTGATTTTGAACTTTGCTGTTATGCAGACAGATTCTTAGTGTAGGATTTTACTGCTGACAAATCTTTGCTGACAAATTTCACTTCCTTCTCTGCTTCCTTCAAATTAAAAGCCTCATTGTGGTTTCTCCATGTCAAGCTTTTACTGTGAAACAGCCAGAGGAAATAGAATTCAGTTTGGCTGCAGGATGTTATCAGTGAACAACAACGATATCAGGAAGTTAGAAATGAATTCAAGTCCAAATGAATGAATCTCAGTTACAGACACACACACACACACACACACACACACACACACACAGTTTAACAAGCTGGAGTATGAAGAGAGAGTGAAATGAAGAGTTGAGTGTAAATCCTGGTTGTTCAAAGTGTAAATATGATCAGCTGTACTCACCAGTGTTTGCAGAGACTCTGCTGTGTCGTTGACAAAGATTGGATGAAGTTAGTTTAATTTCTTTGAAGAGAAACGGAGACCTTTCTGGACGGCTGCGTGGTCGACACCCTGACAAACTTTAAGTTTCATTTCTTCAGAGTGACGCTGAAGCTCTCCTCCCTCAGCTGTGGCTCCTCCTCTAACTGCAGCTTGTTTCTTCCCTCTGAGTCACAGGGCTGTTGTGAAATACCAGCTTCAATAGACTGATCTGATCTGATCTGAGAAGAGGAAGAGTCTCATTAAAGTCGTCGTATCTTCTTTGTGAATAAGATACTCGAGTTCATTTATTACAGTCACTCTCATGTATCAGGAGAGTTTGGTGCTTGTTGTGGCAGCAGAACAGAACTGATCACTTCTTGTTTCTTCATGTTGGGCTCCATCTAGTGGTCGTTGTGTGTCATAGCAGCAGTCAGAGGTCTACATGGAAACCTGTTGTTTCTGCAGCAGTGTAGCAGGAGAGTCCTGTAGGAGTGGTCTGACACCACCAGGCCTGTGTGGTTTCTGGAATTGTTCAGAATTTAATTATTTTCTGTATTTATAAACTCAGCTGACAGACTGTCAGTGATGGAGTTTAGTTTGAAACAATAAGGTCAACATAGAAGAGTAAAGCTTCATTCTTCTTCCTCGTCTTGTTACCTGTGAGAAGAACAAACAGCTCAGATGTCTCGGGATGTAAACCTGAAGTGTTCTTCCTGGTTTTTATTCATGCTCTCACGTGTCTCTAACGTGTCTGAATTGAATTGTTTGATCTTCAGAGCTCTGCAGCGTGTCAGGTCATGATTTGTTTTGTGTGTGTGCAGACGTGAAGAAGCAACAGAAGAAGAAGAAGAAGAAGAAGAAAGGGAGGAGGAGGAGCGCACCGCTGAGGAGGAAGAAGAGCTGGAGAAACAAAAGGTCAGAGGTCAATGGCTGCAGCTCCACGTGAGTTTATCACATCTGTAAATATCACCTGAAGACAGCATCTCAACGTGTGTGTGTGTGTGTGTGTGTGTGTGTGTGTGTGTGTGTGTGTGTGTGTGTGTGATTGTGTTTCTGTGTGTGTGTGTGTGTTTTCTGTGTGTGTGTGTGATTGTGTTTTCTGTGTGTGTGTGTGTTTTCTGTGTGTGTGTGTGTGTGTGTGTGTGATTGTGTTTTCTGTGTGTGTGTGTGTTTTCTGTGTGTGTGTGTGTGTGTGTGTTTTCTGTGTGTGTGTGTGTGTGTGTGTGTTTGTTTTCTGTGTGTGTGTGTGTGTGTGTGTGTGTGTGTGTGCAGGCGGAGATGGCCCTGCTGATGGAGGACGAGGGCGACGAAGCCAAACACAAACACTTTAATTACGATAAGATCGTGGAGCAGCAGAATCTGAGCCAGAAGAAGAAGAAGCTGCTGAAGAAGAAGGGGGAGGAGCTTCAGCAGGAAGACCAATTCCAGGTGGGTGTGATGATGTCACAGGTCGTGCTGCTCCAGCTGAATGTCCTCCGGTTTCCAGGACTTGACTTTAGCATTCGGCCGCTAAATGTTCAAACTTTTGTTTTGACCACAATCGTCCCGTTTAACGTGTTTTGATCTGATTTCAAAGATGAACAGTCGACCTGAAGAAGAAATAAATATATAGACGTTCATTTCCCTCTCTCGTGGTGTGATGGAGTCAAAGGAAGGCTGTTAGCTCTGTGTTGACTAAATCGTGGTCATGACGATGTTGTAACATTCTCCCTCTCTCTCTGTTTGTGCGTCCAGGTGGATGTGAAGGACCCTCGTTTCCAGGCCATGTTCACCTCCCACCTCTTCAACCTGGACCCCTCCCACCCCAGCTACAAGAAGACCAACGCCACGCAGAGCATCCTGACGGAGAAGCAGCGCCGCAGAGACGAGGAGCAGCGGCGCCTGGAGGACGGGCTCAGAGATCAGGGGGAGGGAGCCGACAGGAAGCAGGTGGCGGGGAAGAAACGGGAAAAGGACCGTGACGCCGCGGCGGCGGTCGACCTCACCTCGAAGAAAGCGATGGACCCGAGTCTGTCTATGCTCGTCAAGTCGATTAAAAGCAAAACGGAGCAGTTTCAGGCTCGCAAGAAACAGAAACTGGTGTAGGTGGAACTCTCAACACAAAAGTGTGCAGA